AAACCCTAAACCCAAAAAGGCCCGGAGCCCCCCGACTCAAAGCTCGAAGTTACAGCCCGGAAGCCTGAAACATCCGGAAGACCTCCCGGAGAGAATCCCGGAATTGAGGGTTTGGGGTATAGGGTTTAGGAAGTTAGGATTTGGGGTTTAGGGTTTGGGCGTTTAGGGTTTGGGGGTTTCGGGATTAGGGCTTTTTGGGGTTTAGGGCTTGGGGGTTTGTGGATTAGGGTTTAGACGGGGTTTAGGGTTTATGGGTTCGGGCATTAGGGCTTAAATACACTGTCCGATGACTCCTTGCTTTCATTGCCCCCTACCAGCACGTAGTCAGGAAGCCACTTCTGTGGAAAGAGTCGAGGCCCATGAGCCCTCACGCGTAATGTAGGGGCCTAAATAACTACCGTGGGGGGTTCCTTTTTGTATTTATAGTATAGCATACCCCAAAACCCCATTCTGACCATGAAGGCTTCTATATTAAACGTAGGGGTCTGAACAACTCGTGCTAGTCTCTCCTTACAGTCCCCAGAAAACTATTGGCATACGGTTGATGATATAAATCCTGGATTACCTTAAGGACCCTAAACTATGGGAATTACTGTATATTCCGTATTTGTGGGTCATGTCGGGTTTATGCCATCAACCGTAGTGTACCCGACAACCTTATTCTGATTAACTTCAAACCCTATAAAGCCTATACCCTACTGATCAGGGCCTCTGAGGGAACTACACGGAAGCCCGGAACTCAAACTCCCCTTTCTTGAGTCCGCAACTACCCACTACAGCCCTTCCGACTCCAAAGCCCAGAAGCTTCGAACCCTAAACCCTTAAAAACTGCGCCTCAACGCCTAAACTTGTCACAAACCCCAGATATCGAAACCCCGAAACCCCGAAGCCCTTCACACCAAACTGCAGGATCCTTATAGAACCCTTATGCCCTCATAGTAGCCCTTGCAGAATTCTTGTAGAGGCCCTGGTCGTCACTGATAGGAGCTCTTATAGGAGCCCTAGTAACTCGTAGGAACCCATAAAGTGCCCTAGGCCTACACCCCAGCCCTTAAAACCTGCATAAGCCCCTACACCCCAAAACCTGAAAACACCCTGATGCCCTAAACCCTTGCGGAATCCCTGAAGCCCTAAACCCTGCGGTATCCCTGAAGCTCCAAACCCTGAAAATTTCTGAAGCCCTAAACTCTGCGGAATCCCTAGACCCCTAAACCCCTAATTATAGAAGCCTGAACAACTACCAATATCATTCCTTATGGTTCTTCATTACGAGTATACTATAGAGGGGTCCAAAACCCAATCTAGTTATTTAGGCCCCTATACATGATAGAGTTTAACATCCTTCAAGCAGGATGCCGATACCCGGGCCCAGCCCCCGAAGAACGTGCAGACCCAGCTTCTTGGGTGGTTTGGGGTTTAGGTATTAAGTTGTAGTTTCGTTTAAGGGGTTGTCTCGGTTTTAGGTTGTAAGCTTGAAGTTTTTTGTTTTGTTCGGTTTTGGGTTTTGGAGCCTTAGGGTTTTAGGGTTTACGCTTTTAGGGTTTAGTTTAGGCTTTGGGTTCTTAGGGTCCAGGCTCGGATGAGTAAGAGTTATTATATTGATGTGTTGGTAGACAGACTAGCATATCATCGCATGTAATCGTGTGTAGTGGTACACAATAGTTTGTAGTAGTGAAGTGATCCTGCGTCTTACCTACGGTTGATGATATAAACCTTGCATTACCTTAAGGACCCTCAACTATGGGAATTATGGGTTATGTTCCTTATTATGGGTAATGCAGGATTTATATCGTCAACCGCAGTTTCATCGATGTTTGTGGGCAGCTGAAGAGCGACTGAGGGTGTCGGGGTTACGGTTTTACGGTATGTTTTGGGTTCAGGATTTGGGGTTTTGGGGGTGTCGGGGTTGGAGGCTTTTGAGGAACAGACACCATAATGTGAGAAGACTGCTGCCGGGACGGCTCCCAGATATGCTGACAATTCTTTCCAGCATGGCTGTCGGTACCATAGGGTTTAGGGTTTGGGGTTTAGAGTTTAGGGCTGATAACAACTATTGCTATCTCAACCCCAGGCATTGTAGCAAGACATGCTCGTAACAATCATGCGAGAATGCTGCCGTCGTAGGGCACGGGGCCGTAGGCTCCAAGCAAGGGTGTGAGGTTTAGGGCTTAGGGAAGATATTGACGTGTTTCTAGCAATATAGGGGCCTTAATAATTACCTATACTATTTTGGGGGTTTCGAAAGCCCCATTCGAATTATGAAAGCCCCTACATTAGTCTAGCAGCCGGCGAAGCTTTCTGCTGTCTGGGCCAGGGCTAAATCTGAAAAACCGTAGTCCGAGAGCCCCACTTCCACCCTGTAACCCTGATCTGAAGCCCCCAGGCCCTGAACTCTAGGTCCCAGCTAAACCCTAAACCCTAATAAACCCTAAGCTCTAAACCCTAAACCCTAAACCCTAAACTCTAAACCCAAAGCCTAAACCCGAAACCCTACCTAAACCCGAAACCCTAAACCCTAAACTCAACCAAAGCCAAGGTACGAGCGCATCAGCGAGTGGCTCATGACCATGGGTGCCGAGGAGGTCCGGGGCAAGGATGACCCAGAGAGGGGGTTTAGGGTTTAGGGTTTAGGAGTTTAGGGTTTAGGGTTAATGGTTTGGGTTAGGGTTCAGGGTTCAGGGTTTAGAGTTTAGGGTTAATGGTTTGGGTTAAGGGTTGCCCAGGCGTGTGTTATAGTCTTGACAACCGTCCGTAAGCACGCCGAACAACGCTTCACCGTAGCCTCGCGGAAGCAACTTTGCTGCTGATACCGCTACGACTGCCACTACGACGACGACGGTGGCTCTAAGCAAGATTCGATTCTAGATGATTATCAAGGCCCTATTTTTGCCAACGAAGTTCCCCAAAGCCTAAAAAAGCCTTGGCCAAGCTTTGCCCGACCACCAGCTGGAAGTCCTGAAGCCAGGCAGTGCCCAGGCTACCGGATTCACTGGAGTAGCCCTGACGGCGTGAAGCTTGTGAGCGCTTGTTCGGTTCTTCTAGCTAAAGTTTCGGTGGTGTGGACTCAGTAGTAGGTTGTACATGAGGTTCTACCCTAAACCCTAAACCCCAAACCCTAAACCCCAACCCCTAAAGGTTGTACATGAGGTTCGAAGTACCCAAGCTACGACTCCCAGAGCTCCAGATATGCTACCAATGTGGAACTCGGTCCACAAAACCCTGGTAACGATGGTCCTTTGGGGCCGAGGTTCAGGGTTTAGGGGTTTAAGGTTTAGGGTTTAGGGTTTTAGGGTTTATGGAATTCCATAATGGTACGTAGTATCTCTGGAGCCTCTGGGAATATCTTAGTTTCAGAAGGCATCTTCCTGAACCCTGAAATCCTCTACCCTACCTACACCCTGGAATCCTAAGCCGAAAAGTATCGGAGGTTTGAGGTTAGTCTACACACCGTTAACACGTACAAAGACTATAAAGGAGACAAGGTTCTAGTTATTATGGTCTAGTTATGCAAGATTCTATCATGGAAAGCTTATTCAAGATTCCATTCTGGTATAGTTGTCTAAGGACCAGAATGCAGGATTCGGGGTCTTGTTTGGATGGGTTAATATAGGGGCCTAAACAATTTACCTATATTATTTAGAGGGTTCCCCACTATAAATATGGTATAATGGGCCCCCAACCCTATTCTAATTATCAAGGCCCCTACATTACCTGGGCAGGTCTTCCCAGATGCAGTTGCTCTTCTCCGCTGGCGTGACCGTGCCCCGGCTTCGCACGACTTCGTTATTTCTATAATATAGGGGCTCCCCAGAAAGTTGGAACATGGGTTTATAGTATTGGAAGTTGAATAGCCGTATCCCCATCTAGCCCGGTTATAATTACTGCTATATGTCTGCCCCCTCCCAAAAGAAAAGGCGTGTTCAGTTTTTTGAAGTCTCTATGTTCGGGCCTTGCGGGAATTGGGTCCTTTGCGCTTTAGAGCCAAGGTTTGCTCTTACCTCTGCTTCCTAAGATCTAACATGTAAGCCCTGCCTAAAACCTAACCCCCCCAAAGCCCCAAACTCTATGAACCCCTAAACCCTAAACCCCAGAACCCTAAACTCTATGAGCCCCTAAGCCCTAAAGCCCTAAGAACCCCAAAACTTGAAACCACCGCCAGAGGACAGCGCTAGCCGAAGAGGTTTAGGGTTTAGGGTTCAGGGTTTAGGGTTTAGGGTTTAGGGTTTCAAAACCCCCAAACCCTAAACCCTAAACCCCCAGGCAACCAGCGCATGCTTCCCAAGCTGGCGCTGGACGGAATCGCTCGGAGCCCGGTGTGTTGAAAGCAGAAGAAGGAGGGCCGAAATAATTAGAGGGTTTAGGGGCTTAGGGTTTAGGGGTTTAGGGGTTTAGGGGTTTAGGTGTAGGGTTTAGGGTTTAGGGGCTTAGGGCCTGGGGTTTAGGGTCGAGCAAAGGGGCCTAAAAAATCACCAATACTGTTTTGACGGGTTCCTTATTATAGCTATAGTATAAGATACCCCAAAACCCTATTCTAATTATTATTAAGGCCCCTATGTTAGGGTTGAGGGTTTTGGGGTTTGGGGTTTGGGGGTTTAGGCGTTGAGGATGTAGGGTTTAGGGTTTGAGGGGTATAGGGTTCAGGGTTACTCGGCGTTCTTTTGGTTGGCTCTTAGGACTTTAATTTTTTGGGTTTCTATATGAACTATAATAAGGGAGCTAAAAGTTTAACTTTTAGGAGGGTTTCAGAAGTCAGCCACGGTGAATCCTCCTTTTCCTCGAACTAGAAGGCCTCCATAGCCCTTCGATTCAGGACATCTGGGATTTAGGGTCTGGGGATTTTGGGGTTTAGGGTTTGGGGGTTTCAAGTCCCGGGCTTAGGGTTTAGGGGCGGTAGGACAATGACAGGAATGTTGACAGCAGCATCAGCCACGCAATTTTGCAGCAGGAAGCACAACAGCACCACTTGCAAAAAAAACGGCCACCGTTGTACGACTGATATTAGCTTCCCTAGTCTTGCCTGTAAACATCGTGACATCTTCGAACGCATCCGAATACTCATATCAGTGTCGTCAGAGCCGTCTTTATAGCCGCAATAGTTGGAGACGGTGATGGTCACTCCGGCAAGATTGAGAGTACTGTGTGTCATGGTAATATAGAGGCCTTAATAATTCCTATACTATTTTGGGGGTTCCTTATTAAATTATAGTGTAATATACCCCAATACTCTATTCTAGCTATGAAGGCCCCTACATTGGGGACTGGTACGGTTCAGAGCCTGCCAAACTGGCCATACAACAACGAAGATGGTAGCTTTCACCAGAACGACCGGTTTGCAGCAACGCTGACGTTGTGGAGAACATGACGTGGAATTAAGCACAGGTTATGCAATGATACCTTGCTCGATGAAACCCAGATTTCTGAATTCCTATGTCTAAGCAGACAGCCATACCTCTTCACCTTTTGCCTGCCTGAAGCGAAGCGCCCGCGTAGCCATGTATTCTTGCCCACAATATACCATACAGCACAACAGCAGCATATATAATATGTAATGTGTCAAACAAAGGCCACTCGTGATTCCGCGGAGCAGCTTGTCCACTGCCTGCAGCCGGGCGACAAGGCCGTGAAATGTCGGACACACTGCGTGAATAGCGCCTGCATCCTTGCCTGCCTACCCAGAGACTCCAAAACCCCTTAATTGAGGAATATACCTTAAATTATAATAGGATCCCTAATATGATTTAAGGTATATTCCTTAATTAAGGGGTTTTGGAGTCTCTGGGTACTGTAGGCATTCCGAGAAGGAACGAGTCGAGGCCCATCAACTTGTAGGAGCCTTGAAGGCCTAACTCCCGAGTCGAAACACCAGCGGCTGGCTCCACCCTGAACCCGTGCAGGGTCGCGACCCTGATTCATGGTCGTTTTTACCCGGTGTCAGCAGAACCCGGCATTAGTCAGTAGCGCTGTTCGTCATCAGCCGTTTCACCATCCCCTATAAACCTCCCAGGCGCTAATCTAGTGGTATGAACCATTGGCAATACAATCTCTTCATAGTTCCTACATAATCATGATAGTATATGCCGGCCCCGCAACCTTGTTGAGTTATCCAAGCCCTTACAGTGCAGCCTGATAAACCGTTTAAAGCCGCTAGGTACAAGCTTACAGCCCATTAGAACCATCAAACAGCCCGCTATATAACCTCTTTCAACACCTGAACATGCAGTTATAACACTGTTAAAGCCGCTACATAACCATGTAAGCTCCGTAGTAAAAACCCGTCAAACGACGTTAAGACCCTTATTGTTAGTCGTATTTTTCTGTTTGTGACGATGATGCTGATGATGTTGATACTTCCTATTGTTATTGCTGCTCGTAAGCGAGAAACGCCCTAAGAAATTCCTAAGCTGGACCCGGGCCCCGAGCAGGATGCCTTAAACCCTAAACTGACGAAAGGGAGGCACAGCAATTAAACAAAAACACCTAAACCTTGAACCCTAAACCCTAAACCCTAAACCCTGAACCCTAAGCCCTAAACCCGGGGCAGGATGCCCAGATGGTCGTCTACGGCCACGGCATCGCCCAGCCCATCGAAATCGCGCCCCCTCTGCTCTCCGCCTGGGGTCGCTGGGCCTTAAATGGGTGTTTTAATAGGGCTCTTAATCGGGTTTTGTGGCTTGCTTAAGAAGGTTGTGTAGGGGGTTTCAATACGGCTTTTTGAGATTTTAATAGGTTGTTTTTTAGCTTTTTTGTTAGTTGCGGTTGTACGGCTTCGTAGGGTTTCTGTAAAGCATTTGCTTAAGTAGGGCTTGAAGGTTTTTTTACAAGTGTTTTTAGGGTTTTGTGGGCCTTGGTCGATATTGCACTTACATAAACCCTAAACCCTAAACCCTAAACCCTAAACCCCTAATAAGGTTTAGCGTTTAGTGTTTAAGGCCTTCGGGTTGGTCGGTCAGGCCTTGGTGTGTCACCTCAAGTCTGCGTGTTGGTGTCTTTTCCACCTGTCTCTGCTTTAAGGTTTAGGGCTTAGGGTTTAGGGTCTCTGTCTCTGTGTCTCCTCTGTCTGTCCCTCTCTCTCTCTCTCTTGCTTTCTTTGTCTCGCTATTTCTGGGTGCCACGCAAGACGACAAAACCTCACGACAGGGTCTGCGTATGTTTTCATTGCAGGTCACACCTTCGCCGGGTTCGCTGACGGTAGTTTCCACCCTGAACTCCCCAAGCCCGCCTGAACCTCGCCAAACTCCCGAGGACCTAAAACAGGGGCCTTAATAATTAGAATAGGGTTCTTGGGGTATATTATACTGTAGTTATAATCAGGAACCCCCAACATAGTATCGGTAATCGCTTAGGCCCCTACATTAAGGGTACGGGGTTCCGGGGCTTCGCACGGCTGCAAGCCCGCTTGCGAAGTAGGCCGAAGCCTGCATAACATACTCCCGCTTGGTAATGGAGACGCCTGAATATTAGCTTATCATACCTACCTGGGCTTCCTCCTTATTTCGTTTAGGGTTTAGGGTTTAGGGTTCAGGGTTTAGGGTTTAGGGTTTAGGGGACCGAAACCCTTACTCCGTTTGTTAAGGCCCCTACCCTAAACCCTAAACCCTAAACCCTACACCCTAAACCCTAAACCCTAAACCCTAAACCCTAAGCCCTAAACCCCTAAGCCCTAAAGTTGTCACCACAGGTGGCAGCCTTATCGGCTTCAACATCGCCCGTTGGGTGCACGCTTTGACGGCCAACGCCGGGGCTCCCAGCGTAAGGGCCAACAGACCGCCAAAGGGATCTTGGGGTGATATTTGGGTTAAGGTCTAGAGTGCGGGGTTTAGGGTTTACGGTTTACGGTTTAAGTTTTAAGTTTGGGGTTTAGGATTCAGGGAAACCTTAAACCCTAAACCCTAAACCCGTAAACCCTAAACCCTAAACCCTAAACCCTAAACCCTAAACCCATAAACCCATAAGCCCTAGACCGGTCCAGGCTGTTAGGATCCCGAGAAGCCGTAAGTGCCTTGTCCGAGGCCAGGAAGATGATGGACGTCATGGAGAACATCACCAAGCTCCTTGGGTTTAGGTTTTTGGGTTCAGGGTTCAGTTTTTTTTTTGGTTTAGGGTGTGGGGTTCTTTCTCTTTCAGGGTTTAGGGTTTAGGGTTTTTTCTCTTTTCGGGTTTAGGGTTTAGGGTTTTTCTCTTTTAGGGTTTAGGGTTTGGGGTTCTTGGCCTTCAAATATCCTTAAGATATTGTCTCAATAGTTTTGTACCTAAGCCCTAAACCCTAAACGCTAAACGCTAAACCCTAAACCCTAAACGCTAAACCCTAAACGCTATAAACCCTAAGCCCTAAAGTAGCATCGGATCGTTCGCGTTGCATAGCAACTCTGAAGTTCAAGGCAGGTGACCTACGTGCGACAGGTCTGGTCCTCTACGCCAGGGTTTAGGGTTTAGGGTTTAAGGGGTTTAGGGTTTAGGGCCAGGGGTTGTAGTGGTTTAGGATTTGGGGTATCTTTGAAAGTTACGGCCGTCACCTCAGAACTCGAACCCTATGCCCTATGCCAGTATGCTCTACTTCTGGCACGCTTACCCGCCTCGCAAAGGAGTCGGAGTAATTCGTAGTGACATTCTTTTGTATTCCTTATATACTGGCACCATTAGATACCACCAAAACCCGATTCTAGTTCTTAAGGCCTCTATGGTAAATCCTACAAGCCATAAACCACCGTAAAAAACACTATACAGCCCAAATAAAGTCCTATTCCAGGCATTAAGCTCCCTACAAGAAACCCAAACCCTAAACCCTAAACCCTAAACCCCAAACTCTGAACCGTGCGCTGTTTGACCGCCGAGGCTCGTGCGTGCAAACCGCTTCAGCCTGGACACAGCGCCCGGCTTTGCATGGAGATGTGGGGTAAGGGATGTAAAGTTTTGGGTTTAAGGTCTGTTCAGGGTTCAGGATTTAGGGTTCAAGGTTTAGGAGAGGGTTTAGGTCTCGGGTTTGCGGGTTTAGGGATTGGGATTTCGGGTGTGGGGTGAAGAATACTATGAGGAGAGGAGGGCTCGAGCAGCTGGGGGTAGAAGTTTTCGTAGTAGCAGCAGCAGTGGCAGCAGCAGCAGCAGCAGGAGGGAGGAGCTGGAGCAGGAGGAGCAGGAGCAGGAGCAGGAGCAGGTGCAGGAGCAGGAGGAGGAGGAGGAGGAGGAGCTGGAGCAGGAGCAGGAGCAGGAGCAGGAGCAAGGAGCAGGAGCAGGAGCAGGAGCAGGAGGAGAAGTAGCAGTAGCATTAGCAGTAGTTAGCAGTAGCAGGACTGGCAGAAGCAACAACAAGAGCAGCAGTTGCTGAAGTCGCACCGTCAGTGTCGCTGTCCTTCTTGTCAAGAGGCAGGGACTTCAAGTTTAACCGACAAGGATTGAAGGTTTTGGTGGTTGTCTTAACCCCTTCGTCTACCAGATGTGTCAGGAGTTAAGAAGTCAAGACCCCACACAGCAAGGTACCGAATCTCCGAACAGGAGGCAGAAGAGAAGAAGACGAAATCTATCATGACGACCCTAAACCCTAAACCCTAAACCCTAAACCCTAAACCCTAAACCCTAAACCCTAAACCCTAAACCCTAAACCCTAAACCTAAACCCTAAACCCTAAACTCTAAAACTCTGAAACCTGACGAGCCTCTCCAGACCCCTAGGCCCTAGCCCTAACCCCCCTAAACCCGCATCCCTTAATCCCCAAAATCCACAAACCTCGCCTTAAACCCCGAAGCCCTGTAAACCCCCCCCTAAACCCTAAACCCTAAACCCTAAACCCTAAACCCTAAACCCTAAACCCTAAACCCCTAACCCCTAAGCCCCAAACATCAAACCTTGGACCACAAACCCTGCAGCCTAGACCTGCACACTTCCTCCTCCTGCTAGGAGTTCCGGACGCGCATAGCTGAGGGGAAAGAGGGTTCAACCCAAAAAGAGACCCTAAACCCTAAACCCTGAACCCTAAACCCTAAACTCTAGAACTTGAGCCCTAAACCCCTAAACCCCTAAACCCGAAACCCTAAACCCCTAAACCCTAGACCCTGAACCCTAAACCCTAAACCCAGGTGCTCTACAAGGTGGGTGAGGATGCAATCAGCGATGCCTTCGCGCGGGCGGCCGATGCGTCGGACAGCGCGCAGGCCTACGGATGCCCTTGAAGGGGCCGAAGGGTTGGGGGGTTCAGGAGTTTAGGGTTTGTTTTGGTGTTTCGGGTTTAGGGGTTTGGGGGTTTAGGGTTGAGGGTTTAGGGGTTTGGGGATTTAGGGGTTTAGGGGTTCGGGTTTAGGGGTTAAGGGGTTTGGGGTTTGGGGTTTCGGGTTTAGGGGTTTGGGAATTTAGGGTTTAGGGTTGAGGGTTTAGGGGTTTGGGGTTTAGGCGTTTAGGGATTCGGGTTCAGGGTTTAGGGTTTTAGGGTTTAAGGGTTTAGGGTTGAGGGTTTAAGGGTTGAGGGTTTAATCGGGGGTTTGCGGTTTGGGGTTCTGGGGTGTTGGGTTTAGGATTCCGTCAAGGGTTCCGTTTCGGGTTTCTATACAGGGGTTTCTATGGTGTTAATTTACGGTTTAGGGTTTAGGGTTTATTGTTCAGGGCCTGAATAAATACGAGTATTATTTTTTTGCGTGCCTTCCCATGACACCCTTTTCAAATAGTTCAGGCCCATAAGTTCGGGTTTGGGGATTGAGCGCTAGGGTTCAGGCTTTCGGGCTTTGAGTTACTTGCGTGTCTTGCACATGCCACCTTTTGTAGGGGTCGTCATTACTACCCTAAACCCGAAACCCTAAGCATTACTACGGTCGACTGTTTAGGATCCCTACGTAGAAAGACGTCTTCAAAACCCTAAACCCCAAACCCTAAACCCCAAACCTATAAACACTAAACCCCAAACCCTAAACCCTGAACCCTAACTAACCAAACCCTTTACCCTAAACCCAAAAAGGGTAGAGAATCTCGAATCCGCAGACGACACCTTTTTCATGGGAGTCACAGCGGAATAAAGGCCCTCTAAGAGATCTAGCGTGTTCCTTGGAGGGATTTATGGGGTTTAGGGTTTAGGATTTAGGGGTTCCTTTAACGAGGGTTTAGGAGTTCCTTGAAGGGATAAATAGGGTTTAGGGGTTCCTCTAAGGGGTTAATAGGGTTTAGGGTATAGGGGTGCCTTTAAGGGATTAATAGGGTTCCCTTGGAGGATTCCTTAAGGGCTCCTTTACGAGATGATTCATGCTCTAACGGTACTATGGGGTTCTGTGATAGGGCTCCTGTTCATGGTACTATGGGCTTCTGTAGTGGCTTTAGGGTACTATGGAGTTCTATAATAGGGTCCCTTTCAGCCCCTTTTATTCTCTTTTACAAGGATGATTCTTGACCTTATATAAATCGAGCACCCGCAGACATTACACTTCGCCCCGGTTCCTCAAGCTGACAGCACCAAGTACTGTAAGCGGCGGCCTTAGCATCTAAGCCGCACACCTGACCTGGGACAGCCCACAATGGCTCTCAGGTGGTTCTGATTTTCCCCACTCTGCAGGAGGAGTCGCTCGGAACGAAGCGAGTTCAGGTCTGTTGTAGGTTCAATGATCTCTTTTTCGGTTCATTTTTCAGAGGTTGGTTTCAGGGTTTAGGGTTTCCAAGAAAAATGGCAATGGGCTAGAAGACCTTTGAGAACACATAGCCGGAGACACGCTCGGATTTGTCAAAGCTTGCGGATGAGAAGAAGGCGACGGCAAAGTTTATGAGCGACTTCCAAGAAGGGCCCCAGACGCCACCAAAGGCCGCGGCGTCCCTTAGGGTTCAGGGTTTAGGGTTTAGTAGGTAGGGTGAGGGTTTAGGGTTCAGGGTTTAGGGTTTCCGGCTACGAAAGCAAAAGCCGCGGCAGTACCAGGCAGCACTTAGACTGCCACGACCACCTCGAAGGTCACCACCAAGTCCCACCGAAACCCAACCCGTCCCCGAGACCCCTGAACCCTAAACCCTAAACTCTAAACCCTTAAACCCTAAACCCTAAACCCTAAACCCCAAACCCCTAAACCCAAAGCCCGAAGCCCTAAACTCCTAAACCCCAAACCCCTAAACCCCTAAGCCCTAAACCCCTAAACCTCTAAACCCCTAAACCCCTAAACCCCTAAACCCCCAAAACCCCTGAACCCCTAAACCCAAAACCCCTGAACCCCAAAACCCTAAACCCCAAAACCCTAAACCCAAAGCCCAAGCAGCTGAGGCGTCGGGGCCCACTGCAGAAAAATCAAGAAGCCGCTTCAGGGGTTGAGTCGCATGAAGATGACTACGTAAACCTAGTCGGCAGAGCCCTACAATGGGTTTAGGGTTTAGGTTTTGGGGTTTTTGGGGTTTTGGGGTTTTAGGGTTTAGGTTTTGGGGNNGGGTTTAGGGTTTAGGGTGAATACATTTTTTGTCGATGTTCATCCGACCCCGAGTCTATGCCCTGTGGAGGTAGGGGGAAGTAGTTGTGTTTATAGTTTAGGGTTCTGCCAAAGCCTGGACCCTGGATCCTAAGCCTCAGCCTTCACTAAACACTAAACCCTGCACCCTAATAACTCATTCTAAGACCCCTTAAACCTTTATAAGCTCCTATGAAGGACAAATACAGTTTTTCCGTGGAAAAACCTGGAAAGCCATATGGAGCCGCTTAAAACCCAGTGTCCACAAGGCGCTCCTCAACCCTTGTGAGACCATGCAAAGCCCTTGTTGGTACCAAAGGCTCAAACCTAAAACGTGCACCCTAAACCCTGAACCCGAAGATAAACCTCAAACCCTAAAGCCAATGGCCTAAGATACACCTTAAACCCTAATGCCAAAACCCTTAACCCGACTATAGGGGCCTTACTAGCTAGAAGAGGGTTTGGGGTATAGTAGTATACTATAATCATTAGAAGGACCCCCCCCCAAAAAAAAAA